AGCCGAAAAAGCGTAGCAGGTCGTTGACGTGCCAATACATAACATAACGGTGTTTTGGTGTAGACGACGATGCTGTATGACGCATGCACCTCATGGACGCAAGTCGCTTAGATCCACCTAATAGCAGAAGAAAATCAGCACAAGGCTCAAACACAAATTAAAAATTTAAATAAACACCGCTTTGTGGTTCCGTGATGTTACTGATAAATGAGCATTTTGTTTTTTGGCGAACAACGGCTAACTGCCTTATTATTCAAATTATTATTCAATTTATTCACATACTTAAAAATTCTTTCACATAATCAACTGTACTTTGCAAAACGGACTTCTGAAGCGGAAGGAGCAGAGACGCGAACTTAGTTTCGCATTTTGCAAAACAAAACCTTTACATTTTAGCTTAAACCAAAAGAATGTTATTACGTTAAACAGAATTAAATTACTTTAACTGAATTCTATTAAAAGAAGTATGGCAAAAAATCAGCCACATGTCTTCCATGTAACTCAAGCGAAACGATGCCAAAAGGAATATACCCATTATGCTAATTTACCTGTTTCATCACGTGTTCTATGAACCAGCACACTGCCTATTACTACAAAGCGGTCGTTCAGATGCCACTCCATGGAAGCGGATCCTGGTAGTGATATACAGGTTCCTGCGTCATTGACAGAGTAGTCTTCAAGTGTTCGGCTGAACAGGATGGATCTCTTTGATCAACGTAGTCACTGGGGATATGCACCCTTTCGTTCAAGAAGTCGATATGACGAACCGAACCGAAAAACTCTGTCACATGCACATGCCGTGGATCTCTCGGATATAAATCGTAGCGAACTCCGACGGTGGACAAACATTTATAAGGCGGACATGCGTCAAGCTAGAAAACAAAAAACTTTAATTCTAATCGACATAGATCAAAAATAAGAGAATAATTTGTAATAGTTCGGAAGCTTGTCATGAGTACATTTCTACAATTTACAAAAAGTCTTGTTACGGAGCTTATGATGCGTTGTTGATCTCCAACATGATTACACTAGTTAGGAATGCCATGTTGTTCGAAATGAATGTACAGCGTGGAGTATCCTACCTCTTTACCAGAGAGTGGAACCCATTTATTCGATGGAAAAATGCGAGATGAGCTACCCTCTCCGGTCATCATCATTCGTTGAGTTTAACACTCAAACGACTGAATTATCCCGATTTAAGGATAGAACATAACTGTTATAACACTCTCATCGTCCAAATGCTGATGACAGCAAGCAGCGTTCTCCTGAAGAATCATATTGAATTTAGCCTGTTGACTGCGATCTCACTCTATTTATTCACGACCTTTTACCTATACATACTGTACAGAACCTAGCGCCATGTAATAGAAAGTGGAAAAGTAAAAATGAAAATCTGCGCTGATTTACACCACCTAAAATGATACGATATAATTGAATGAGTTCTATTAGATATACCCTAAGGTTTATGAATGAGCACCACTCTGTAAAAAGGGAACGATACGCTACATTCAATATTTTCCACACTGCTGCTGCATCGACTGACTTGGAAATAAAGCACTCTACGCTGAAAATAGAGATCACTGTCTCATCATTAACTCAAAGGAAAGAAGGGCGCTAAAAACGACATCATGACGAAAGTGCATAAATAATGGGAATATATTATCAAGCAGATATATTTTTCAGGCAATCTGCAAAGAATACTTAGGAAATATACCATATTATCATATATATAACACTAAACACAGAATCTGTTTAACATTACAAATAATGACACGGAATTTCCAAGGCAAAAACGTTCGCGCAAGAAAAAATCTTTCTTTACTTTACACTGATTCTGTGGTAGTGTAAAATAGATGGAAGTCTTACACTGGGTATATATCGCCATACTACACCGCCCATATGCTTCTAGTCGCCTTGAGCGACCATTTAAGCAGGTTATTGCTCCATAGTATTTAAGCGCCTGCAGTCATGGGACGCAAGACAGTGGCACACTCAAGCCCAAACAGAATTGCCACTATCAGTAGGCGAATACATGGAAAATCAAATAAAATGTGACCTCGATGTTAAGAATCTGGATAATTTCAATAAACTGTTTAGCATAGTCGTCAGTCAGTCAGCCAGTAAATCCTCGAATCCAAGGCTAAATGTCAATAAGGTTTTTTCTTCATTGCACTCCAATATTTAAACAAAAAGTTCCTGAAGAATTTCGAACCTCGCTTAACTTAAAATTTTAATCATATCCATTTTTATTCAGGCACTATTCAGTGCTTTAGCATTCAACCCTCTGACCGGGTCGCAATTCTGATATTTACTGTCATTGTAAAGGTGCACAGACCCTTCAAATCTAGCTACAGGTACGTCACCTCATAGCTTCCAAACGCACTGGTGGGTATTTAAACAGACCAAGGTTCCATGGTATTGGAGCATCCGCAATGCCCGGATGAATTTCACATCATTTTATAGACTTTAACGGACCGTAACACAATGGAAGCGGTTTAAACAGACCTCATATTATTCTGCGCATGTCAACAAAGGCATCACTGATGAATAAAACCTAAGAAGTAATCCCTTCGACAGGGTGAGCAGTGACTTATGGGATTCAACCGGGGCGAGAGGATGAGGCAAAATATAAAAATAAAACACACCAAGCACTTTGCCTTCCCATGTCACCATTGACTGAAATCAAACTTGCCCTGCGATTCATACGAACCGACGAGTTTCTCTTTAACTAATCAACCGCTAGTCCAATCACATGAAAGGAAAGTTGATAATCACCAAACAGAAAACATGCATGTCTACCTTTCGTCACTTTCTCTTGATGAACGACGGACTTGTCATAAACCTTGAAAAGAACGGCAAACAAAGCCATGGTGGGGCTGTTTCTGGTAAACTATCCTCTCAGCCGATTTATTTCTGATTACAGAAACGTATGTAAAGAATTTATCATACAGATCAGATTTATTGGTAATGGCCTACAACCTTATTGGTTATAAGCATAGATTTTGAAAAGACTTCAGAACAGAGGAAAATACCTTTCAGTACTAAATCTTCATTCGTCACGTGGAATTTGCAAATG